AATTGCAGGAAAGTAGACCCCGGCGAGAGGAGGAAGGACTCACAAAAAACCAAAAGGCATTTCAAATATCTAACCCATGGTTGGTCCACTGGCACTCCAAAATGCAATCAATTTTACCTGAAACATTTGACCACACTTGCTCTTAGGGCCAGAACCCAATAATTTACCAATCTGACATTACTTGATGATTTATGTTGCTATCCATTATGTTGATACTAATCTCCCTCTCCTCTCCCCTCCCTCGATCATTATAATTCCAAAAAGTAGTATGGAATATGGAACATATCCCGGGAAGAAGAAGAATAGGGAGACCTATAAGCCTATATCCACCTAAATTAACCTATCGATAATTACAGAAATATAAACACTAGTAAGGAGGGAAGAAGAAAAAAAAAAAAAAAAAAATTTCCAGACCTCATCAAGGACCAGGCCAGTACTGAAACCTTCAATAAGTGGATCAACTTATCTAAGATTTAGAATCGCGTTATTTTAAAAACCCATATTGCAATAAGTTGCTATTCTGATTCTATTCAACATAACCCTCCAACTCTTAAGTAGAATAGTTCAAGTCTTCCCTCTCCTTTCCCCTCCTTTAACCATTCCATCTACATATTGCTTTGATATATATATACATGGTCCAACTCCCCCTCTCTATTGTGATCTAAATCAACATTACCTCTTATATATCATCTTGCTAATACCAACTATTTCATCTAATTTACCCCTTTAAAGCCCATAAGTATCCACAATTATATCATATGTGAATAGACCCTTACTATAAAATTGTACTGCCATTCTTGTGTAAATAACCCACTTCCATTCTTATTAGTGCTGGACAGTATCAAGTCGTGATTATTGTGCCCAGAGCTAATATTACTACTAAGATACTAAAATTCAAGTGTGAAATCTCTAAGTTCCTTACTATCAAACTCCATAATTGAAGAAGTGGGTTAATAATATTCCAGTCGTGATTATTGTGGCCAAAGTTTATATTACTACTAAGATACTAAGATACAAGTGTAAAATCTCTAGATTCCTTACTATCAAACTCCATAATTGAAAAAGTGGATTAATAATATTCCAAACAGTATTTATACCATATATGTGAAATGTATCCAATTCTGCCATCATCAATTGCTCATCATAGCTAAAACGTGAAAATTTCCAATCACCTATATAAATAATTGTTTCAAAACAGAGGAGAGTAGTGGAAGAGAGGCAACTTAACCAAAGATAGTGTGCAATAACTGTCTACTATGACATAATTATATAGCTCCAACGTTATATCAGGTTAACATTGCCTTAAATCATAGCTTGTGACCTGCCCCTCATTTGAAAACAATATAATTTTTTTCCTCCTTTTCTTTTCCCTTCTCCCTCCCCTTAAATTGCAAACATTACCGTGTACCCTTATCCATAGATAAACATTCTTAACTTTAGACATAACTCTGCCCATTAGACTTGGGCAATCACTAATCTAGTCTTTGCAATTAATTCATATAATAAAAAAGAAAAAAAAAAAGAAAATTTAAAGTGATAGTAGTTAATCATTTTCTTATTCCAATAGGTGGTCAATAGTTTAGTAGGCACAATAAGTAGTCAATATCTTGTTCCAAGTAGATGGTCGTTAATTGGTCGACTCAAGAGGATAACTACTGTAGGTTCCAAGATTGGATTTTTTCTTGGGCCGCCGAGACTTCTTTAAAGAGAAATTGTTGATTTTGAAAGAATACCAATAATGCTGTAGGGAAATTCCATCTGTATCTAATTCCATGCTTCCTCAGAATGCTAGTCTGGATGGCGTATTTTTTCCTTGCCAACCTGGTCATCAAAGATAGATCTGGATATAACTTAATATCTTTAAATTGAGGGTCTGTTATAGCATTTTTTTGTGCCGACTGCATAATTGAATTTTTAATGT